AGAATTTCAGAATGAGACTCGAAACCAAACTACAGTATGTAATTAAGAGCCTACAGAATTGTATCTTAACATGAAAATTATATTAAATAAAGAATTTTTGCAAATGCAGCAAAAGATTAAGGGAATGGAAAAAAGGTAGGAAGCAAGCTGCTCCTGTTTTGGATACGGGTGCACTTGATTCACAATGATGGCTACACTGCAGGGGCCTAAGAGTTGATCTTTTCCGAGAGCAGTCATTGGCCAACCGATTTTTCATTTGGGCAACAAATGAAACTTGACACCTACTTTCAATATTTCTTTCAGCATTGATGGTGATTAGTGTGGTTTCCATGCTTCAATGAAGCTCAACACTAAATTATATTTCTGTTTTATCTTTCATAACATTTATGATCATCCAAAATTATCCCATGTATTGCAAAGAGATGAAACAATGTATCCCGCTTCCACTATCATACAAGATCCTGGAGAGCAAGAAGCTTTTCTATTACACTCCTTGTACAGGATGATCTACATTTTTCCTGTATAGAGGGGAAAATTTAACAAAGCCTTTTGCCTTATTAAAATATCAGCCCATAATTTCAACACATCTTTTCTTCCTCCCCACTTTTCCAACTTCCCTAATTCAGGAAGCAAAAAAAGCATTGCTCAATACTGACTTGTATCATTCATTATTACATAATTTTGAGCAGTGTCATGCTTACTGAGTGTTGTTTGCTTGTTTGTTTTGGAATACATATTCCTAGGCCTTTTGTCTGACAGATTAAAACCAAAGGATTGGGCCAGACAGCCAGCTCCCCTGGTAAGGCACGCACCGGCACACTAGACGTGCAACTACTCGGCTCTAACCTGAAGCCTTGTTAGCTTACATGTGGCTCAGCAGCAGCATTCACATCACTTAGAAGCTTTTTGAAATACTAAATTTCAAGCCCCACCCAAATATATTAAGTCAGAGTCTGAAAATTCACAAAAATTCTGGCTAATTCATATTAAGACCAAAAACTATAAGAACATGTAACATGAACTCAAGCTTCTTCACAAAGTTTTTAGGATTGGGTTGAGTCCCACAGTCTAGTGGCTAAAGACCTAGCCCTTCATGTGCTGGGATCCAATATGGGTCCCAGTGTGTGTCTCAGTGGCCCCACTTTCCATCCAGCTCCCTGTCTGTGGCCTTTAAAAGCAGTTGAAGATGCCCCAAGGTCTTGGGACCCTACATCCGCATGGGAGACCCAGAAGAAGTTCCTAGTTTCAGATTGGCTCAGCTCCAGCAGTGGTGGCCACTAGGAGAGTGAATCAAGAGATTCTGTCTCTACTTCTCTGTAATCTGACTTTGCGAGAAGAATAAATAAATGTTTAAAAAAGTTTAAGCATCGCCACGTATCTTTAATGTAGGCACATTGTTGAATAGCAGGTCTGTGAAACTTACCTAACCTGAATGGTGGGATAATTTACTAGTATGCCCACACATTAGAAAATTCCCATTTCCCACTGCCCTAAGATCTTGGAAACCACCACTTCCCTTTCTGATTCTCTGAGTTTCACTTTTTTATATGCCCTGCATTGCTTGAGTCATGCAGTCCTTGTCCCGTGACTGGCCTAATTCAGCATGATTTCAAGGTTCAGTCATCCTGGTGCCTATGATGAGATTTTTTATTTCTTAGGACAAATATCCCACTGTCTAGAGATTAAAACAAAATTGACAACAATGTGGAGAAATAGAAAATGTGGCTGAAATATAGAGTGGTCCACCCTTTATAGAAAATACTATACAAGTCCCTTAACAGATAAAACTAGAACAACCAAATGTCCCTTCTCCCCAAATCCACTTTTGAGTATTTATACAGATTTGAAGATTTCACATCTATATTAGCGCTTATATATTTGTTACAACATTATTCACTTTAGTCAAAATGTGAACAGTCTAAATGTTTATGGAAGGATGAATGGATAATGAAAATGTAGTATGTAAATAGGCACATTTCAGATTTGAGAAGAAAGTGCTGGTCCATTTCACAGCGTTCCTAGACTTTCTGCCATAGACTACCTGCAAACCTATCAGAAATGTAAATTATTTGCTCCTTCTCAGTATAGCAGAAACAGAGTATCTCTATCACTTACAGAATTTTGGGATTCAAGTTTGAGAACCATTGATGCAAATCACAATTTGCTGATCCAAACCCCTTATCCTGCCTTGAGTTATGACTACTTACCAATTTTCAATCCTTCGTAAGATCTATTTCTTAGCATCATAATTCTCCTCCTAATGTGAGTAGAAACTTAGTAAAACTTGAGAGGACAGACCCAATCAGGATCTATGATGTAATGTACAAATGAACACAATGGTGCAAGCACTGGAGGGATTCCTCTTTGACTAAGCAAATGTTTTTGGTACATGGGAACATGGAAGTCTGGTGCTCGTCAGTCATAAACGCCCTTGAAGACATATCCATGCTTTTTCAATAGCTGTTCTAGAAGAGGATTTCCACCCACCTTGATTTCTAAATTTACAAACGCCTCCAGCTCTCAAGAACACCTCTTAACGATTGTCAATTAGAATGAGCTGCTTCAGTTAATTTAAGGAAGATACAAGAGGATATCAGCTCCAGGTGTTTGTAGGGATGAAGGTGATGGGGACATTACTTGCATTTATGGATACAGAAAGGGAGGCAAGGCTTCCTTTTTCTTCTTTAGATTGAAAGTTCACACCATTCCTACCTTTCAATCCCTTTCCTAGGAGTAGTTACAACCCAGAAAATTAACAAAAAAAAAATGGGAAGAGTAAGACTAGATCTCCTCAAATATTTCCAGGATGTGTTCATAACCTTGGCTTCTCAGAAAGGCCTTGGGTTCTCAGACAGTCCCAGGAGTGTGAGTGAAAGTACTTATCACAAGGAACTATCCCATTCCAGGAGGAGCTTTTGCTTTTCTTTTACAGTTCCAGCAGTAAGCTGATTGCCCCATATTGGTTTCAGCACATGGAATTAGAGCAACTTGCTTGCCTGGTTCCACTGTTTGTTAGACAGGATGTAGCTGTTAGTGATTAAACAGTTGAGAGTTTCCAATGCTTAAACTAATTGGGTGTCTTTTTGCACCACTACAGTTGGTTGAATTTGTATTGTACATTGATGCAAGCTTGGTTGATTGAATGATTTGTATCATGTGCCAGTGTTCTCATAGTTGATTGGTAATTGCTTAAAACCCACTGAACAATCGCTTCTCGGCCTTTTGGCTAAGATCAAATATAAAACACCCTGGCCGTTGCTGATGGGGTCTGCTTCCCTCTTCATGCAAAGATCCATGCAAAGGCAGTTCACCAGTCCGGGCTGCTGGTGAATGAAGACTCCTGAGACTTCCTTCCAACTCATTTCTGGGATATATTTATCTGAAACCTTTAAATCTATTTTAACAATGCCAGTTGAAGACTTCAAAATGCTCATTTGTTCATTAAATAAAACAAATGAAGTGACTTTCCAGATGATGTTTCTTCTTAGATTCACTCCTCCACGTGGTAGAGTTGTGTTTTAAAGTTGATTACATTATTTACTTGCATTGTATTCTTAGACGATGTTTGGATGTTCACAGTAAAATAATTACTGAGCGAGCTTAATATATTAATCACCTCACAGGTTTAGCCTTTGTCTTTCAAATGTAAAGATACTGAAATCTGCTGTTTGGGGAAATTTACAGTATATGATACAAAGCCATTAAGTAGAGCTCTTATGCTGTACATTAGATCTCTAAAATTTATCTACCTTTGCAATTTTTGTCCTTAAACTACATCTCTCTGCCCCATTACCATCTTTACATTTTTAAAATAATATTTACATATTTGTTAATTTGAAACAGAGAGATCGATCTTCTATGAGCTAGTTCACTCCCCTGATGGCTATACAGGCCAGAGCAGGTCCAGGCCATAGCCAGGAGCCAGGAACATCATCAGGGTCTCCCAGGAGCCTGCAGTGGTTCAACACTTCTGGGCCATCTTCCACAAACTAATACAGGCAGCAACTGAACGCGCAACACCACAACGCCAGCCCTCAATCTTTCTACTTTCTTTCTATGCATTTCAACTCTGTTTAAAAAGAGTTCACATTCAAGCTCAAATTAGCATTCGAAAGAAAAATAGAAAACAGACAAGTGAGATTCCATTAACCTGAAAAGCTTCTGCAAAGCAAAGAAAAATAGCCTAGAGTTTGTAAGATGATATGGATAAGAAACACATCTGGCAAGAGATTAATTAAAAAAAAAAATCACACAGCTTAATAGCAAAAATACAGAAATAGCCGATTTAGAAATGGAAAGAAGACGAATAGACAAAGAAAATTATAGACGAAAAGAGGCTCAAGTTTTTCTAAAGATTGGGAAATGAAAACCAAAACCACAATGGGCTATCCCCTTATGCTTCTTAGGGTGAGTATTGTCAATAGGAAAATCAGCGTTTGCAAGGGAGTGACGAAGGGGGAGCCCTTGCACACTCTTGGCAGGAATATGAATCCGTACACTAGGAAAACTATCCTCAAAAATCTACTGGAACTTCCAGCGACCCAATGTCAACAGTTCTTTCTGCCGCTGACTTTCACTTCCTCTGAAGAGGACTGATAACGACCGGCCAAAGGCGTTCGGGGTGCTCAACTCCCTCCGGGCAGAGGAGGGAAGCACGTTTCTTCCGACATCACCCCCTCCCTGGCCGTCCCTGCAGGCCCAAGGGGACTCGCCGGAGTCAGATAGGGGTTCTCCGTTAGCAGCCTCGGGGGGGACTCACCAGGGGGCCCGCCCGCCTGCAGGGGGACGCCTCGGGAGAGTTAGTGCCCCGTGGCGCTGGCAGGCGGGCAGCTGGAGGAGGCGGCCTGCAGCTCACCCCGCCACTGGCCCTGCCCCCGGCCCGCCCCCGCCGCGAGGGCCCGCGGTTCCGGGTCCTGTGACCGGTCAGGCGGCGTCAGCGGGCGCGGCGGAGGGCGGCTCGTCCTCCGCGAAGTTTCCGGGGTCCCCGGGGAGGGCGGGTTCGGACGGCCCCCCGAAGCGAGGCGGAGCAGAGCGCGGCGGGGTACGGGGCCCCAGTGCGCCCCAGAGCCGTGGGCGCTCATGGCAGGCGGAGGAGCCGGGGACCCCAGCCGTGGGGCGGCCGCCTCCGGGGCGCCCGAGACCCGAGAGCACCTCTTCAAGGTGCTGGTTATCGGCGAGCTTGGCGTCGGCAAGACCAGCATCATCAAGCGCTACGTCCATCAGCTCTTCTCCCAGCATTACCGAGCCACCATCGGGGTGGATTTCGCCCTCAAAGTCCTCAACTGGGATAGCAGGACCCTGGTGCGCCTGCAGCTGTGGGATATTGCTGGTAAGCGCGCAGCTGCCCAGTGGCTCCTGCCTGGTCTGTGCACCTGACCTCCTCCTCGCTCCCTGCCTCTGCCCTTTTCTCCTCCTTCGTGCTTGTCTGTGAAAGCTTAGAACCTGGTTGCTTGGACTCCAGTGGGATGAGAGCCCTTTGATGGGCAGTAGTAGCCGTGGAGGCGTTTAAAGCTGGAGGAGGTTAACCCCACAAGAGTTAGGTGGCTTGGAGAATCCTGGGGAAGCCGTTCTCTTCCCTGGCTCTCTGGCGACTGGATGGAAGTGAGGGATGCGACCAGGGGGGGTCTTTTTCTGACTTTTAACTCTAAGTAATGACCAACATACAGTGCACCAGGAATAGCTGTCTAGAAGAGGTGTTAAGGGCAGTTTCCCAGGGTGCCAGCTTCTCTGCCTGAGTTAGAACTTAGGTTAAGTAATGAAAGAACTTACCAAGTGTCAAAGAAGCTTCTTTCTCAGACTGGTTTTCTTATTTGCTTGAGGGTTAAGTCTTGCCTCTGTGTGGGGAACTCTTCCCTCCCATTCCTTGCTGTCATGCGGAGGCCTTTTCTCCTAGCGAAGTGGGGAGGTGTATCAGCATTGTAGATATTGGCTAGGGCGGAAAGTCTAGCATCCTATGTCAAGCTATGTGTAAGAGTTTCGTTGGAGTGCTCCTTTTATCCAGGAGTAGAGATGTAGCCACAATGTATCTTCACTTCCTGGTGTGCCAGTCTCCATAATACAGTCCACCTAGGAGGATATATGTAGACACTTGTTTATGCATCTATCTTGTAGTTTGCATGAAAATTGTATTCTGTCAGAGAGAACATATGATATTTGTTCTTTGGGGATTGGCTTATTTCACTGAGCATAATGGTCTTTAGTTGGAATCATCTTACTGCAAATGATAGAATGTCATTAAATAGCAGAATGTTGGACTTGTGATTGTTGCTGAAGGACTGTAGTAATAATATGGGGGAAATGGTGTCCGGGGACAGTGGAGTGAGAGAAAGGGAAGTGGAGGGGGGAATCCCTATACCTATAAAGCTGTATCAGGAGAAATAGTCACAACAAAAAAACGGAAAAGGATTTTTAAAAAGAAACACTGTTAACAATTAAATATGTGTTAAGTAGATAAAATAAAATAGTGGCTGAAATAAAAGAAAATAATGTAAGGAAGCTTCTCTGAATTTTATGCAACGATTGCCCCACTCCAAAACATTCCCACCACCGCGTGGACTCCCTGTCTGTCTGTCATCCCACCCACGACATACAGTGTCCTTGGCATTGGCTTTGTGTGGTCCCCTCTTTGGGGAGTTATGGTCCCCCTTGTTGTACTTTGGGAATACTTGCACTCTGGTTGGGGTGCGGGTGTAGCCTTTAAAGAGAGATGGAATGTTTGGAAATTTTAAGTATGAAAATTGCCACAAGTTATGCTGCTCATTCATTGTCAATTTCAGAATTGCAGTAAGAGAGCTTTAAGGATGCAAGTTGCTTTTGAGTTGGGGGCTGGGGGGACCACAGTTTCCCATGTCCTACACACCACAGCCAGCTCAAGGTATGGAGAATGCATGGCTGCTGGCTTCCCAGCAGTATCTTTTTCATCTGCAGGTTCTCTCTCACACAGGAGAAAATGTTGAAGTGAAAAGCCTTTACACGCCCTTGCTTAGGAGCAGATTCTTCTATGTCAGAGGAGAATACATTTAGGCACAACGGACTATCAGAGGCGGGGAGCAATCAGCCCACACGCAGCTTTCGTTTTCTGTCACCAAAAACCAAACACACGTTTGAAAAGTCATCTCCTGAAGCCTGGGTCTTCTTTCGAAACACTTCCTGCCGTTGCACAGGGCAGTAATGCATGCTGTACTGCTTCAGGATCTAAGAAAGTGGTGGGTGGCGATAGTTGCTTTCTCCTGTGACTCCTCCCCAGGACTGCTCAGTGCAGCTGTGAATTGCCTCAACAGTGATGCTAAATCCATGCTGCCTGGAAGGCAGGTGGAGTTAACCTCATTCTCCAGGTAGAATTCTAAGGCGTTTAGCTACTGAATTATGATTAGGTCCCACTGCAGGGAATGAGTGCGCATAACTGTTGCATTGCACAATTGTGTTTGGAAGCTTTGTGCTAAAAATGTTTCACTGTGGGGACTTGAAATGATAAAAGCAGTAGCAAGAATTTTCTTCCTGGACATCACCTTTCCATTCCTTCTCAGACGGAGTTCCCCAGGCAGGGGGCACATTGAATGTTCAGCAGTCTCTGGCAGACATGGGCCTACTTGGGGTAGAGAGTCTTGTATTTTTGTCTAAATCCAAAGCTTGTGCTTCAGCCAAGAAGGAAAGCAGCAGCTGGAAATTTTCAACATTTTCTGTGTACTGGGCATTTTTTTTGTTTGAAAAGTACTATGTTCATCAAGCAATCAGTGGAATCAGAGGTCAACTTAGGAGAGAACTCCGAATTACCAGGCCCACTCTGTAAGGAAGACTTCCAAAGAGGAGATCCTGCTGAATATTAGGAAATTAAGGCTCAAATATAAGTTAGCTTTTAGTGCTGTTTTTGGAAAGCCACATTATTATATTTTATTTGAATATTGAGCTATGCATGTATCCTAGTTCATACTACTTGAATTAACTGGAAATGCTACAAAGAAGAAAAATTGAAGGGCACTCCCAAAATTTACCCAGTGACTAAACATATTTGCATTGTGTAGTAACAAAGATCATACTGAATTCACACAGAGCCAAAATAATCCCTGATTGTAAAGCAGTAGGTGGAGCCAGCCCGTCTGTTGACATGTCTAACCCAGTGTGCGCAGTTATTGCTAGTTTCCTGTTGATGGTGGTTGTAGCCATTGTAGTGCTGGGCAGACTTGTAAGGAAGCTGGCAATAGTCTGTTCTGGAAGATTTTTCCTAGTGTCATAGGTAAGAGTTGCTGAGTTTTTCTCTAAGTGTAGCAAAGCAGATTCAGCTAAACTCTTCGGATTAACAATAGGACAGACATTAACAAATATTGACTCAGGGCATTGAAGGAATTAGATTTAAAATACATATGCAGGGACCAGCACAGTGGTCTAGTGACTAAAGTCCTCGCTTTGAACGTGCCAGGATCCCATATGGGTGCAGGTTGTAATCCTGGCAGCCCTGCTTCCCATCCAGCTTACTGCTAGTAGCCTGGGGAAAGCAGTCCAGGAGACCTGGAGGAAGTTCCTGGCTCCTGGCTTTGGATTGGCACAGTAACAGCCATTGCGGTCACTTGGGAAATGAATGATTGGATGGAAGATCTTTTTCTCTGTCTTTCCTCCTTTCTGTATATCTGATTTTGCAATAAAAATAAATCTTAAAACATATATGCAATTCAACGCTTTGGGGAATAAAGCAATTATTGTTTTAATTCATACCTCACTGAGACTTTTTTTTTAAAGGTTTATTTATTTTTATTGGAAAGGCAGATGTACAGAGAGGAGGAGACACAGAGAGGAAGATCTTTTGTTCAATGATTTACTTCACAAGTGGCCGCAACTGTTGGTGCTATGCTGATCCAAAGCCAGGAACCAGGAATTTCTTTCCGGGTCTCCCACACAGTTGCAGGGTCCCAATGCTCTGAGCCATCCTCGACTGCTTTCCCAGGCCACAAGCGGGTAGGTGGATGGGAAGTGGAGCTGCTGGGATTAGAACCAGCACCCATATGGGATCCTGGCGCATTCATAGTGAGGACCTTACCCACTATGCTATTGCGCTGGGCCCGAGACTGATATTTATATGTAACTGAAACATACTAAAGTTTCAAAGTCTTACATAAGATTTGGAAGAGAGCTTTAAAAATGCACATTCACAAATGAAGCAAGAGGTGCATCTGGTCCTCCTTTAATGCAGATAAAGCAGCTTTCATTTATTAGCTACTGTAAGTTTATTTTTCATTAGCTTCAATAAGATATTCTAGCCAGGCTGACTTGCTGGCCTATGTTAAATCATAATCAATGTCTCCACTTATATAGAATAAATTTTTCAGATCCTATATACTTCAGTATTCATGAACTGATTGATTTTTCTGCTTTAGGAGCAGACAGTATTTAATATCTGAATGAGTTACACTCCTCTGATTCAAAGGACACTTGGGGACGATCTGCTCAGAAACTTATATAAATCTAAAATACAGGTTTGGGATAGATGATGAATTATAGAAGTCATGTTTTAATTCATTTTACCACCTTGAATCCCATTCCGAATGCAGTCTTGGTCTTGATTTCCGTGTTCCTACTTGTACTTTGCCAATTCTAATTCCAAGGATCTTCTCTTGTCATCTCATGAAACTGTCCTATAAACCTTTCTGAGAAAAAAATCTAGAATATTTAAATCTGATGCTTTCCAGGCCTTATCAGTCTATGAGTCTTAATATTCAAGCATCTCCTCAGTAGGAAGAACCAATGCTTCCATGCTGTCTGTGTGATTCGTTGTAGTTTGTGTCTTAAACCGGGAATAGTCCAATAAGATTCTTTCCACTTATTGCTAGTCATAACATATTACCTATTTAAAATACATGTTACAGTCTCTGTTATTAGGAGTGATACGGCTCACACAGTCTTGCCTTCTTCAACCTGTGCAAGCTGTGTTGCTGCACTGAATTTCCAAACCACAACCCATTTTATTTGTTCAAGCTTTATTTATTTCTGTATTTGAATAACATTCTGACAGATGAATCTTAAATATATTGGTTTATTTCCCACATGTCTGGGCCATGTGAAGCTAGAAGCCAGGAACTCTGAACCTCCCACACGCATCACAAGGAACCAAGTACTTGAGCAATCATTTACTGCGTTTCAGGTGAATTAGCACTAAGTTGGATTGGAAGCAGAGGCAGGAACTGATCCGAGACATTCTGACAGAGAATGGAGGCATCCCAGTGGTTTATCCCACTGTGTCATGATGCCTGCATCATATGGTCCTATTTTAGATTTTTAGATCTTTTGCAGTTGCTGAGTGTGATGTAGCTTTGGTCTCCATGATGTAAGCTATGAATT